GTGCTGATGGGGCGGGGATTGATCCCTCCTCCCCTTGAGCCTGTTTGGGTCTGCGTGCTGATGGGACTGTATTTGTATGAGTATCACGGACACACAGACGAGTGTTACGGTTAATGACAGTTTCCCCGTTCTTCCGGACAAACTCACATCTCTTGCTTTGCAAACGCAAAGACAATCGTACGATGATGCTGGATTGAAAACTGGACAAGCTTTGCTAAATCAACGCAGGTAGTCATAATATAATTTACTTGCATACATATAGATAATGGATGAATTTAAAAGAGACGTCAGTAACATTTATGCTAAATACGATGATCCGCAGAAAAATCGATATTTAAAGGGGCTGGCATTTTTAGTTAATTATGCAAAAACACAAAAGGACAAAAAAAAGGATGACTCAATAAAGATTGAACCACAGGAAGTCAAAGATGAAAAGCTGGCTTCTCAAAACGATAAGGTAAAAAAAAAAAAAACTTCCAAAATTCCTGACCGATGAAGGCGATATTTATAGCCAGACGCTCAAACTGCAAAACAATCAAATTATTTTTTCGCTCCCCGAAGGATATAAGTTGAATTGGAACAACAAGGAATATGACAATGTGGAAGGAATATTAATTAATAATAATGATGACATACCCAATCTTGAGAACAACATCAAAAGTAATAAATTACACAAGAATTCTATTGTATATTCAAACAAAGAAAATCCAAAACTCGAAAAGATATTAAGTAAAATATTAAAAAGCAAAAAGAAAGCGAATGAATTCATGTTTTTCGATGTGAAAGATAGTTACATTAAAAAAGGAGAAGACAAAGTGCCAGATAGAGGTGCTAGACCTGAGCCTTTACTGGAAACAAAACCACCACCTCCTCATGAAAACATTCCTTTGCCAACCATACCCGAAAATCAAGCACCTGCACCTGCACCTGTCCCTCCTCCACCTGCTCCTCCTCCTCAGCCTATCATCCCATCACCTGCAAGCGATGCAGGAGTTTATCCAGATATTGAAAGTCCAAGACCCATGGAGATTGTAAAGCCGAATGCTCCTGTTGTAACACCACGCTGGTCTCAAAGAATGGAATATCCTTTACCAACAACAGATGCGGAAGGCAGGCCAATTCCATTAAATATTATTGAGCGAACACAATCACAATCATCGCCATCTTCTGCCGCACAAGCATCACCACAAGCGTACTCTGAACCTTTGCCCGAAGATGAAGAGATGAATTTGGCTAGACAGATGAGAGATAAAGCGGAATTGAAAGAAAAGAGCAGATATGAAAAGGCAATTGACCCCCCAAAAAAAAACCAGCATATCCATTGCCAGAAACAAGACAAGAAATGAAAGAAAGACTGAGAGCTGTCAAAGTGCATACCACATTAGCTCAACGAGCAGTCCGCCAAGAATTACAGCGAAAAAATATCGACAAAGCTACGGGTGCAAGACTAATTTCTACAAAAGAAAAACCATCTCAAATTCAAAACATCGGCTTGCGTCAAGCGACAGAAACCGTCGAAGAACGACGAGAAAGATGGGATAGAGAAGTGAAAGAAAGACAACGAAATCTGGAAGCTAATCTGAGATACGCAGCAGCAAAACAAAGAAACAGAAGCAAAACGCAAAGCAAAGGCAGATTTAGAGAGACTGCATGATATTGAAAGTCAAGCATATAGAAGAGATACTTCACAACCACGCTCTCCTCGTATGCCTACACCTTCTGCTCCTGCTTTAAATGTATTTCCTGATCCAACGGCTCCGACTTTACCACCTCCCCATTTTTATGCAGATCAAATGCGTAGATGGAGTTTTAGTTCCGGTTCGCCAGAAGAACGACCGAAATTTGTTACGCAAGAAATGGTTTAATTATATATATACTATTATGTTATGTCAGATTTAGAAAATAATGAAGCAATTGAATGCGAGCATGTATTTAAAACAATCAGCAAAAATACTCCCTGCCTCATCGTATGTGTCGCAAAAATATGCGGTGGCAAGTCATTATTAATTGGAGCGTTGTATAAATTTCTGAAAAACAAAAGAAATTTCGATACTGAAATAATTGTATCACCTACCATACATACCAAATTTTGGGATAAACTAGGTGTTAAAAAAAGAGCGCAATATGATGATTTTACCTTTGAACAACTAAATCGACTATTTGATTATCAGAAAAAGAAAAAAAGTAACAGAGTATTATTATTTTTCGACAATATACTTGGTTCAAACATCAATACAAGAGATCCACAATTTCTTAAGCTCACAACCACACTAAGACATTTAAATACCACAGTCGTCGTCATCGTTCAGAGCATCAGAAAAATCGATGTAGCCATCCGCTCCAATGCCGATTTTCTTCTGATCGGAAAAATGGTCGGAATTTCTAATGTAAATATTCTGTATGACGAGTTGTGGTCAGGCCAAATTCGAAAAACAGAATTTGCTTCACATTTTGATAGAGCAACAGATAATTATAAAATCATTTTTCTTAATAACCGAGCTATGAAAAATGAGGATAAAATTAACCTTGTCTATTGTGATTTAGGACATTGGGGTATTCCAAAAATAAAAAATTGATATATATATGGTGCAAGTTTCGGGAGAGAGTCTAGACTAGCTACCCTAGGGATCTCACTGGACTGCCTGCAAAGGGATCTCACTGGACGCGCCGCGAGGACCAGCCGAGGAGTGGCACTAGGATGCGTAGGGTAGCCGCCGTGAAACCGTGCAAAGGCTGAGGACACAGAGGCGTGCGATCGGTCGATTGGAGTGTGATCGTGTGTGGCCAGTGTACATGAATCGGACTCACAAAAGACTCGGGAAGGGGGGGGGCAAGGTCCCCATAAACGAAACCACCACCACCACCACATATATTTTTTTTGGATCGAGTCAATGGATCGACTTTGTGAGTTAGGGCACATTTCTATGGAACTTCCGTAAAACTGCGGCAATGCGAGCTTTGGTGCGAGCTATGCGAGCTTTAGACGCGCATGAAACGCTCTTTTCATCCTGCCTCACCAGCATGTTGCCCATCGCCAACGCACCCGTCGACGCAGCCGCCGCACCCGCCGCACGCGTCACACACAAGTCGTGGTACGATTGGGCTTCCTTTGGCCTGACTGCCCGCCTGCCCACCCGCCCCGACCTCACGCTGACGTTCAACCCGCTCAAAGAGCTTCGGGGTGACCTCGACCGCACCAAGACCCTCGACTTCAAGACGTTCAAAAATGAGGTGTTGAGCAACAACCTCGCACGGGCGTTGGAGACCATCCAGGGGCAATTCAACGCTCCTCCCGAGCAAGACATCGACATCTTCACGGGCAAGAAGAAGCCACGCACGTGCGGGGCGTACGGGTGCAACGAGAAGGTGCCAGCGGGCTACGTGCGTTGGTGCAAGCTGTGTGGAGGGGTGTTTTGCAGTCAGCACCGAGACCACACGGTGGGACACAAAGCGTCTGCTTATGCGTACACCTGTGGTTTCATCTGTGTGCTTTGTGTGTGTTCAGGCGTTTGAGTTCTATGTTCCGAGTGGTGTGAACGACATCACCAAGGAGTATCTGACACGCATCCACTCGCTGTACGGGCAGATGAACAACTACGTCTGCTTCGAGTGTGCGTTTAACACCGGCAAATCGGTAAGTCAACCAGCACTTTCGCATTCATTTATCTATCATGCATGTGTTCTGTTTCAGTTTCAGTACGTGCAGTGGTGCAACAACTATGAGGAGCGTGTGTGTGACATCAACCCGTACGAGCAAGAAGTTCGAGAACACGAACTGGATGGTGAGTATGACGACACGGACGCACACACCACACACACACACACGCACACACAATGGCTTGTGGCTTATCAGACAATGTGGCGATGGAGGACGCTGACACCGGCACCATGTTGACGAACGGCACCAACAACTACCTCACGAACGGCACCAACCACGGCACCAACAACCAGCTGACGGACGGCACCAACCACCAGCCCGAGTTGGTCGAGTGTGTCATCTGCACTAATCCCAAGCCTCAGACGGCGTTCATCACCCCCACGTGCTGCCAGAGCAAGCTGTGTGAGGATTGTGCAGTGTTTTCGTCGACACGCAACCGCAAGTGTCCGTTCTGCCGTGCCCGTTTGTTGCTGTCGCACATCTACCCGAACAACACGCCCACCAACACCAACACCAACACCGCCAGCAGCAGCAGCGTTGTTGACCTCACCCAGTGAGCTGCACACGAGTTGGGGAGGGAGGGAATGCGTGTGCGTGTGAGGGAGGGATCGAGTGCGTGTGCCGTGGGGTGGGAGCGAGTGCGTGTGTCGGGTGAGGGAGGAGAAAGCGAGTGAGTGCCATTTTCCCAAAGGCCTCACATAATGTAGCATATTGCAGTGCCTGCGACTCATGAGCTTTATCTACGCACACACACATAGCTTTTTCGGCTCGTGACTGCACGTGCATCGTGCCTTTTATCTGTGTGTGAATGCGATTGCCCGTTTTGTCTGTCAATATTACGTGTCCGTGTGGATGTGTGCGTGCATGCAGGCAGGCACCAGTTTTGCTTTCACACGCTGTTCTAAGTCGGTCGATTCACGGAGAGACAGAGAGAGTGCTCGTGCGTGTGTACATCGTTGGGACACAAACGGGTCAGAGGTCAACACATACAGACGGAACGTCACAGACAAGTGGGTCGTGAGTCAACACGCACAGACGAAATACATGCAGCATCCCTGCCCGCCTTCGCGCACCCCACCTCCGCCCTCACTTGTCTTCCTCTCCATTCCCCTCACCCTCCTTCTTCCCGTCCTTCTGTCCGCCATTGCCATCAGCAGCAGCAGCACCAGCGGCGGTAGAAAGTTCCTGGACGTCTTTTTGCTTGTTTGCTTTGATCAGGTCGTCCATCAGTTTCTGCTTCTTCGGCATGAGCTTGTTGATGTCCTCGTCGCACTTCTGCACCCCCTCTTCGTGTGCTCTCTTCGTCTCCTCGGCCGTGGTGAGGTCTTGTTCGACTTGCATCAAGTTCTTCAGGATCTTCATGGCCTTCGTGTCCTTCTTTGGCTCATCCTCCATCTCCGCCTCCGGCTTGGGCTGCTCCTCCGGCTTGGGCTTTGGTGGACGACCACGTTTCTTCGGTCTGGCCTCGCTTTTGGCACTCGCACTCTCAGATCCGCCGTTCATGCTTACGTCAACATCATCAGCGTCACTATGTTTTCGCTTTCCCGACATCGGTCTTGCACAAAAGCTCGCATTGGCTTCAAGCTCCCAGACTTTCCCCCTTTCCCTCGCATTTGCTTTCCCCTCGCGATGGCACAATGGAAGACTATTCTATTGGGATGCGAGAAGACCGACCGCGGCAGAAACGGAGAGGAGATCACGCTGGTGACACCCACTGACCCGCATGATAGACGCTTCCAATTCAGAAAGGGCGGCAACCAGCAATTCACCTGGCGAGACTTCGAGAAGCTCGCCCGCGACAGCAAATTCGCCCCACACACCACCGAGCGTCCCAGCAACCCCATCAAAGTCGTCAAGATCGGGTACGAGAAGAACAACAAGGGAGGGCCAGGCGATCCGGTAGAGCTCCGCATCTGCATCGACCGCCACTCCAACTGGGAGTTCGCCGAGGAAGTCGTCAACGGGTGGGGCGATCTGCTGAAAATGCTGAGAGCGGGGACCCTCTACTACGAAGGGCAATACAGAAACGGACACCTCATCGAAGCAGGCAAACACACACAGATATACAAGTGCACTTGATGTTTTGTCTGTCGCAGGCCATCAAGGAGGAAAGCAAGGCTGTCACCAGCAAGCCCAGCACCAGCAGCACCGCCACGACCAGCAGCACCGCCACGACCAGCAGCACCACCATGACCAACAAGGTAGTGTCAGCACACAATAGGTGTAGTGACTCGCTGTTTTGTTTGTAGGTTACAAAGGAAAACAAGTGCGTTCAGACCGATTTCTGTGTCATCGTGTTGACCGAGGAGGAGAGGAAAAGCATCATGGCGGGATGCGAGAACTTAGTGAGCAAGTTGAAATGAATTCGGCTGTCTGTCGTGCCCTCTTTTCGAGGCGGACTGATGCGTAGTAGAGGCAGGGAGGGAGGGACTGCGTGTGGCGGCCTACGTGCCTGGTGTAGCGAGACGGATAGACGCCTGCTTAATGCATAACGAAGAGAGAGAGGCAGGGACTGCGTGTGGCGGCCTACCTGCCTGCCTGCGTGTAGCGAGACGGATAGACAGAGCGATGCGTGTGTGACCTCTGTGTTGCGTGAGGGATGAAGGGAGGGGCGTGCGTCCATCTGGGCGGACTGATGCGTCGCATGTGTGAGTCGTATCGGTCTGGCTGTCTGTCTGTACATACATACATTTCTTGTCTATACATCGAGCGATCTGATGGACGATGGCCAACTGAATGAATGAAACGCATACATATATACGTCTGCGTACTGACCACAGGGTGAATTGATATTCAATCCTCGTCAGAATCAAATCCATTTCTGGGGTTTCTGGGTTTTGAACCCTACAACCCCAAAAACCCATACAAGGGATTTTTAATGCGAGCGAAGCGAGTATTGGAAATCCCTTGTATAAGTACTACTAAGCGAGTATTGGAAATCCCTTGTATAAGTACTACTGCCTCAATCGAATTCGCGGCGATCTTACCTCGCCCCCAAGCAACCATGTGGGCGAGGGTGGGAGGATGCAGAAGGTGATGCTCATCAACGCTCTTTGGGTATGGACCCTTCCCGCCATCATTCCGCTCGACCACCGTGACATCAGCCCCCTACTCGCGAGCCCCGAGCGGTCAGCGGAACTCCCGACCTTCTGGCAGCAGAGCCCCTACCAGCCCTCGGTGCACTGCGACAACGAGCGGCGCCTTGGTGGGGACCCCAACAACAGCATGGATGGCGGCAAATGGGTGTGTGAGCCTGAAGAATTGGCCAAGGAGGGAAAGAGCTGCCTTGTGTACTCATTCGGCAGCGAAAATGAGTGGACCTTTGAGCAGGCCATCCTCGATATCGCTCCGGAGTGCGAGATCCACGTAAGATGACGCACGCATGGCCACTCCCTTCTCTCTCTTTTCTTGTCCTCCATGCAGACGTTTGACCCGTTCGTCTCCGCCCCAGCCGCCCCACCAGGCGTCACTTTTCACGCCTACGGCGTCGGCCACCCCTTGCTGACCGCCCCAGCTAACGACCCAGGCCTCACTCTCCAGCCGCCGTCGCCGGAATTCATCGGCCTGCCCGCCATCGTGCTCGCGCTCGGCCACGAGCAGCGAGTGATATCGCTGCTTAAGGTGGACATTGAAGGTGGAGAGTTTGATGCGCTGGGTGGGAGCGGCATTGGCAGGTGGCCAGTAGTGAGAGAGGTAGAGGTGGAGGTGCATCTGATGGACCGCTGGGGGGAGAGAGATGCTGATCGGCTGGTCAGGGCCATTGAGGGACAAGGCTATGAGCTGTTTCACAAGGAGGAGAACGTATTGGCGAGCTGCTGCTGTGAACTGGCCTTTCGCCGGTTGACAGGATAGACCATGTCTGTGTGCGGTCACTTTCCTGCTGTCTCTCACATTGCATATGGTGGTTTGTTCAGCTACCTCAGTACACAAGTTCCCCCCCCTTCTCTCTCTCTCTCTCTCTCTCTCTCTCTCTCGTTTCTTTGCTACAGACTTGCTGTCTTCCTATTTGTCTGCTTGCATTGATATGCGTGTCTGTCTGGGTGTGAGTGCTGGTTGGCATGATAGTTAGGAGCCTATACAACAAGACCTCACTGCAATAGCTAGGGCCTCTCAGCTTGCTTATTCATGCCAATTGAGTGAATACAATGAAATGCTTGTTGCTGTAGTGACGAGAGCACAGAGGGTGTGAGTACATGGATTGAGCTACACACACATGAATACACGTGACCTGACTAATCAGAGAGAGACAGAGATAGATGACCTGAGAGAGGCAGAGCACACCAGCCATTTACTTGTCTGTCTGTCTGTCTGTCTGTCTGTCTGTGTGTGTGTCTATCTGTCTCGATGTACATACATACATTTCTTGTCTATATATCGGACGACCTGATGGACGATGGCCAACTAAATGAATGAAAGACATACATATATACGTCTGCGTACTGACCACAGGGTGTGACCACAGGGTGAATCCACATTCACTTCTTGTGAAACATCATTCTTTTGGGGTTTCTGGGTTTTGAACCCTACAACCCCAGAAAAACCCATACAAGGGGTTCTCAATGCGAGCGAAGCGAGTATTGGAAATCCGTTGTATAAGTACTACTCGCAACCGCAGCAGATCTCCAACCGGGACAGGCATACGGCCAGGCCGCCTAGGGTACTGCCTGAAACTGCTGCTGGTAATGACCACACCAGTGGAGTCTTCTCAAAAAACCGGTGGGCGCCACCACAGCACACTGATCAACGATATGTATGCGGGATCTGTATGTGTTCTAATCGCAGGATGAGCAGCAGGTTGCTCCACCTCACTCTGCCTCATCGTCTCCTGATGGCCATCCTGGTGTGGACCGTAGCGATGATGATTGTTTCGTCTGTTTCGTCTGTTCACGGCGAACGTGAGTGCACCCTCATGGTTCACAGTCCACTGGTTCCCTGGTTGATCTGCCTGCTTATGCACCCTTGCAGGTCATCAAGATCTCTCAGCGTTCGTATCTCCGCACTCGGCTATGACTCGCAAGAGCACCTCAGGTATTTAAGTATTGAAAATGGGACTGCACAATCACGACTGTTGGACTGCATGTCTGTCTGCATCCGTGACAGGTTTGCGGCCGTCGTTGTTGTACCGTTGCCGGGCCCTCAACAGACGCACACACCTTATCTCTCACCGTGCGGGCAGCTCACTTCGCGTCCTTCACATGAGTGAGGATGACGGGGGACAGGACAAGCCCAATGAGCATGTGCGCCACTTCTTCCTTCGATGTGTTTGCGTATGACTATGCAGACGCCGGTGTTGGACAAGCCCGCCGCTTTCGCGACTTTCCGATCACAGAAAGCCACCTCATCTCACTGGACAAGCTCACGGACTCAAGCAGTCAGCGCGACTCTCCACTTGTGCCCACACTCGCCTCAGACTCCCCGTCCGTCCAGACGACAGTCTGCCGTCCAGAGCCTGATGTGTACGTCGGCCTCGAAAAAGTGCAGCAAAAGGTCGAGAACTTAATTCTACACCTATTCGAGCTCGCTGACACGGATGTCCTGCGGGTGGGCCCTCCGGCGCTGACGCGGTTCGCGAGAGGGGGCAAAACTCGGTGTCTGAAGGTGCTCGGGGCCGAGCTGCAACGGAAGGGCAAGCCGGTGCTTTTCATCACGTTCAGTGGACGAACCGCTATGTCAGAGGCAGAGCAAGACCTCCACAAGCGCAGCGAGTTGACTCTGCTGGACTCGATGGTGCTGCGGATGACGTGGGCGTGTGCAACAGAGGAGACGGTCGCGAGTCTGGCGAAGCAGATCGGCAAGGACCCGGGTGACATCTCGTTTGAAGACTGGAGAGACCACGTCTCTCTTGATCCGCTTCTTCTGAAGAGATGGCTCATCGGTCCCCTCATACTCATCGTGGATGAGCTCAACGTGCTTCTCACGAAGGAGACCTTGGCGACACTGGATTTGGAGGGATCAGAGGACCCGATGGGGGCGAAAGCGGTGGCTGGCTTTATCAGGTCCAGCTGCCTGAGCCCGAAAGATCGCTTCTTCATCTTCAGTAGTCACGTCGCTACCGTGGGGAGAAGCATCGGGTATTATTGGATGCACAACCGAAGCGGCCGCACAGTCTACAAGGTCCAAATCCCGCGTATCGAGACGCTAAAAGAGGCAGCGGCCATCAGCCCCTCCGCCGACCAGGGTGAGATTTTGGCAAAGAACAAGCTGAGGAAGCTTGCTCTGAGTATCTGCTTTTTATGTTTGCCTTTCAGGGGAGATATGCTGGACTGGCCGAGCACCTGCGCTGCTCTTCCAGCTGTACCTACAGAGCGCGACCTCCCGCGACGCGGACGATGTGCTGGACTACTTCTCTAAAAGCACATCGATTGTCGACGCATCTACAGCCAAAGCTGTCATCCGCTCGGCGATTGTGGGGGAGCTAAAGGCTCCCTCGCCTCAGGCCCCATACATTGAGTCGCTCGGCACGATGGCGGCGAATCTGGACGTCTATGGTAATGGATGAGTGTGGCCTCCCTGCTACCTGGGCCAGGCTTGCAAGGACTTGGGCACGTCAATCTATGTCAAGGAGCAGCTTGGCTACCAGTTTGCTGCCGATGTCGGCGAGGTGGACCGATTCCTGAGACAGCTGCTGGAGCCCCGAGGCTCTGGAAAGCGCTGGGAGGGGGTGGCGGTGGCTGCAGTACTTCTGCGACTGCTGGACAGCCACATTACGGCAATGGATGGATCCGAGTCGCCCACATCGTTGCTGACCGGCATACCATCAGCCCTTCTGTCGCCTCCGGTGACAAGTGGTCGTGGCTGTCCTTTTGGAGGCTTTGTGGAATCGCTAGATTCAGTGAGGGACCTGCCGCAGCTCATCGAGTGGTTCAATGGCGATGGAGTGCGCAAAGACTTGAACAAAGGCTATGTGTCTTACCTCGTCAAGCCCAAGAACCCCCAATTCGAGGGCTGGGATTTCTTTGTCTTCGTCGTCAAGGACGGGGAGCTGCGGCACATCTGGGGCTACCAGTGCAAAGAGACGACTGACTCCCCGGACAGCAGGAAGCCAACGATCGAGCGGGCTCTCCAGGCCCTCGAGAATTGAGGGTCTTCTCGATGGCCTGGACATTCACACCGTGTGGATGCAAATCGATGCACCGACTTCCTTTGACACAGCCAAGGCTGAGTCAGATCAAGCTGCTCGACCTGACAAAACGGACGACATCAACGGCACGCCGCTGTACTATCCTTCTCAGGCGTCTCTGAGGGTGTTCGTGGGATTTTCCCTGGCGGAGACTTGTCCATTCAGCTTCTTAACGGGACGAGCATGAGTGAGGGATGCGGGGGGACCGTCAACGTTGACGGTCGCCTGAGATAGATGGATGGCCTTCTGCTGCTTGACATTTTACCTGTCAGATCTTTCTTTTTTTCTCCTAAGTAGTTCATGTGAGCTGTGCGCATGATCACTGAATTTGAGTGGATGGGTTCGTGTCTCACAACGAAGCAAAGTGACATGGGTCCTTGTTGTTGGGACATGTTATTATGTGATTTTGGAGGTCTGGATGTTCGGGACTGAAGAGTCTTGACGGAACGGGGACTAACACATTTCGTGGCCAGTTCTCTGTGTATACTCTGAGTATACTCTGAAATCGATTACATTTCATGCGAGAAGTGTTCGATTACATTTCATGTGCGAAACTCGCCGCCGATGGCCGAGATGCTGCTCTGGACATCCACACCTTTTGGCTGCAAGGTGACCGACCCGGAGCTCCGGCAGCGGAAGCCACTCGACCAGACGACGAGAGGTTTATTGGGAAGATGCCGCTGTACTATCCTTCACAGGCGTCTCTGAGGGCGTTCGTAGGATTCTCGTTGGCCGAGACCTGTCCATTCAGCTTCATTAGGTCCTAACGAAACAAGACATGATGGGAAGGGAGATGCGCCAGCGGGCGGTGAGGATGGTGCTGGCATGTTTGTCGCGTGTTTGAGGGTTGGTCGATTGACACACCTCATTTCATGAGAGACAGTCTCTGCCGTTGCGCTATGAGTTGATGCTTTGTGGAACGCTATGAGTTGAGTGCATTCCACAAAGCATCAACTCATAGCGCGACACATCAACTCATACACCTTCTTTTTTCTGGATGCGAAGGAGATAGCGATTGCAGCCACCATTTCCTTGTGTGTCGGGAAGAAACTTGCATTGGAACGTGACACTCATCTTTTCAGTCTTCGATGGCTTTGATTGTACGTGTACAGTGTTTGATCCAACAGACGTGTTTGTCCCTCCCGTTAAGGTAGCTAATTGAAGAGACCGGCCCTTTTTGACCTTCCCTTCTTTCCCAACATCGCAGCGTCATGCAGTCCCTTACATATGCCCGCATCCCACTATGTGCTCTGCTGAGGAGAGCAGTGGTGCGTGTGAGTGCATTTGAGCAGTCAGTGAGGCGGACGGCGGACTCCGACAAAACAGCCGCGCCAAACTTTGCCGCCCACTGCGTCAACCCCCTCCCATACACTGTGTCATCGCCCCGCGACCCCTACCCCTTGTTCCCGTCGCCCGCGACGCAGCAACACACATCAGTAAGTCAAAGAGCCAGCAAAGCGACCTCAAAGACGCCTCAAAGACACGTCTACAGAGTGATGTGGTGTCGTACACACAGTCCAGTAGGCCGCACTATAGATACATGGCAAAAATGGACAGAAAGGCCCGCTATTCCGCCGTTAGGCACTGAGAAGAAACAAGAATGTATTCGGTGTTGGAAAAGCCGAAACCCGCAGCGAGAGAGACACACTGTCCATTGGCAGGTCTCAGGAAAATCTCGCTCAGGCCCATCAACCACAGAGTCGACATACATGAACACAAGATGAATATGCGTGTCCCATCCCATATGAATTTGTCTTGGTTTGTCGCCTCATCGCTCGGCGCCCCCACCGTCAGAAACCGGGACAGTAGGGACATCCACGGGTGTGATTTCGAAGGGGACGGTGCACGCCCCGTCGAAGAGCAGAACCACCACTTCCTGCACACGCCACACATCCGCGTGCACATGACATACACACATGACCTAAGTGGAGGAGGAAGGGCTGCGTGTGCATCCGTACCGCATTGGCGTCTTCGCCGTCAGCTGCCGTGACGAACACTTCCAGTTTGCTTCCAGCATCGGTCGGCACGATCAGCGCATCTTCGTACACGGCGTCGGCCTCTCCAGACGGATTCTCAGACACGCCAAAGGGCTCGCTGCAGAGGCACACCAACACATGCAGAGACAGACATATGCCCTCCATCATTGTCTTTCGTACTCATCTACGGCCGCGATGAGGTTGGCATTGCCTTGGACTGAGTTGGCCGCGACCACCACTTGAGGGAAGCCACTCGCGAGAGCGAAGGGGAGGTCCACCAGCAGAGATTGATCAGTGCCGTTCTGATCAAAAATTAATAGAGCAGAATTCCGGCAACACGCAGAAGAGATGATGTCTGCCTCTCTCACCCACCTGTACAATGTTGGCGGTGGGGTTGCCCGTGGCGTTGTTTGGTTCGCTGTCCTCGAGGAGCGCAGTCAGAAGGGGGCAACCGAACAGGCCCTCCACCTCCCGGCGAGCAGATGCTGCTACATCATGAGCATGTGATGGACGCACAGAGGGATGATTCGTATATCCAGTCGTGGACTGTGCGGCCATCAAGTTGACTCACCTTTCGGCTTCTTCATGTTGAGCTTTGTCGAGAGTGCCTGACGTCACGTGGAAGACACGAGTGACGCAGTGCTTTCATTGTCCATTTGCGTGGCGTGTCTGTCCGTGTCGTACCTTGGTCTTGGCGGGCCGCGACTGGATCGTCGCGAGTGGCTCGCCCTCCAGGGATGGCGGGACGTCCAGAGTGGGCACGAATAGAGCGATGGACGTGCAGACGCCTGCATACGCAACGACAAACAGCGCTACGATCACAGCTACACATCTTGCCCACCTGTGATCGTCTCGCCGGGCTTGAGCTGAGGCTCACAAAACCCCGTGTGCTCAAAGACCAGAAGATCCTAGACGAGCAACAACAGCCACGCATCGACGACAAGATGGGATGCATTTGTGTCTTAGTTACGAATTGGCACGTCTTGGCCAGGCAGATCACGACAACTATCACCCCGTCTTGGCCCCCGAAATCGGCTGTGTTGACCTTGACGGCGTGCTCGTAGTTGGCGGGCGTGTCGCTCTCCTTGAAGGTGAACGCGGAGAAGCTCTCATCGATCTCACTGCATGGTACATCACAGCATACAAACACAAACATTTGTGGGGCTGGCTCATGGTCCCATCAACATCCCCTCACCCGTCGTCAGCGTCATACACGACAAGGCCCATGTCGCCCACTACTGCGTCCAGCGCCACAATGAGGAAGGGAGCCACATCTCCAGATGCGTAGGTGAACGGGCCGAACTGCTCGGTGCCAAGGACCCCGTCGATCGACCCGTTGATACGCGTCACTTCACCTGGAACACAACAAGGCCATCCAGTGCACAGAAGGTGAATGCGTCGGAAGACAGCTTACCTGGGCAGGGAGCCGACTCGGGAGCGGGAGTCGTCGTCTCTTGCTCATGTTGGCCGAGGAAGGCAGCTTCAGGTATGGCGACGGCACTGCCGGCCAGCAGCACCACAGTCAGCACGACGACAAAAGAAGAAGAGACCATCATCGGACGAGGCTAGAGAAGAGGGGACGAGGCAAGAGAAGAGGTGCAGGGAGGTACGGACGATAGAGCGGCACGTGATGCATCCGTTAGATCCGAGAGATCTCCAACCGCCATGAGGCAGATCCGCAACCCAGCAGAGCTCCAACCGCCACGAGTGGCACATATGCGAGTCTTTACGGGCCCGCACAAAGAATAACTGCCACCATCACCCCACACGAACGGGAGGCATCGCTCTGTCCCTTCGTTCTGCTTTAGAGAAATATCCCCGGTCTCGTCTCGGCGATGAAGTCGT